TTTTCCACTAATTAGCTTCTTTCGACTGCTTGAGTGGGAGACAAAATTAGTGAACTAGTGGATTGCTATAAAACGCCACGAGGTAGGGCTAGCCGAAAAATACCTATGCTAAAGAGCAGCAGTTGAAGTTAATATTATATAAAAATGCTAGCCTAGCATTACCATGTAAGAAAATGAGTATGAATGGGATAACACGTGCAACAGAGCGTCTTGCATGATAAGGCGCCGAGGGTAAGCATGTTGCTTGGTGTCAGAGTAGATGAGGAAAGAATAATATATTTGATTTATTAATAATYTTTACAGACCAAGTGGCTGCTAGTTGTAATACTGTTTACTGGATTTCCATATTGCTCAGGAGAAAACAGAGAACGTCTTATCACGTACTATTTTCTAARAGGATACAGATATKTGGAAATTGTGGCTACACTTCTAACAGTCCATGGCATAAAACTATGTGTGAGACAGTTGAAAAGGATATTGTCTCGTCTCCATCTGAAACGAAGAGTGTTTTGTGGCGACGAATCCGATATTGACGATATTGTCAGGGCAATTGAACGAGAACTACAGGACAGTGGGGGGAGTATCGGGTATCGAACGATGTGGAGACGCATACAAGAAGAGCATGATTTACGTGTTAATCAAAAARCCGTAAGGCAACTCATGAAAGTTATTGATCCGATAGGAGTTGAAACAAGGAAACGTCACAGACTATCTAGAAGGAAGTACGTTGCACCTGGCCCTAATTATTTATGGCATGCTGACGGTTATGACAAACTTAAACCTTTCGGGTTTGCTATTCATGGTGCTATGGATGGATACAGCAGACGAGTTCTATGGTTACACGTGTCCCCARCGAATAATGATCCAGCGGTAATTGCTTGGTATTACCTGAAATACTTGGAACAGCATCAGCAAGCCCCAAGAATTCTCCGATGTGATTTGGGCACGGAAAATACAACAATCGAGGTTTTACAACCATTTTTCCGCTACGACTGCAACGATGCATTCGCTGGGGTGAAAAGCTTCATGTATGGGAAAAGCACAGCAAACCAAAGAATAGAGGCATGGTGGGCGTTGTTGAGAAAGTCCTGCACAGGTTGGTGGATAAATATGTTTAAAGATCTCAGGGATAGGGGATTGTACAATGGTCATGATCCCGTACACATTCAGTGTTTAAGGTATTGCTTCATGGGTGTGCTTCGGGCTGAGCTTCAAAGGACAGTTAAGGAATGGAACTCTCATCCGATCAGAAGCAACAAAAATGGAGAATGTCCATCCGGTAGACCAAATGTCATTTACTTTTCACCTGAATTGTATGATTCAGAAAACTTTGGGATAACGGTGGACGTTGAAGACGTTGAAATTTGTTTAGACGAATATGCAAGTCCACCACCTCCTGACTACACTGATGACTTTCTACAACTACTACATCTGCTAAGGCCATTTGCTGAGAGACCAAACACAGTTGGTGCAGCTTGCGATCTGTATGTCGAACTTATTGAAGAGCTACGCCGTTTGTAAAGGGAGTAGACTTGAAAATTAACACCGACCTTGATCTGGATGTCAACTACATTTTTACTTGAAGTTTCCAAACATTTTCGTAATCAAGACTTTGTTAGACTTATAGCTCGCTTTAAATACTGAAAAAATACAAGTTTTATTATGCTTTTATGACATCAATTACAATAACTGTCACATCTTTAATAAAAATTTCTATATCATGAATAACAGTAGTTCAATTATCATCAACGATGATGATACTAATAATAATTATGTCATCAATTATAATAACTA